CTAAGCACATGCTCCTATCTCTGAGCTTGGTCCCTTGCTCGCTCTCTTATTGTTGCTGAAGTCTTCTTTATCTCAGGCTGTCCTCGGACTGGCAGCAATTCTCCTGACCCTCTTGAGTGTGGAGACTAAATTGGTCACTAACATACCCAGTTTCCTATTAATCTTCATGCAAGCTGATACAAGTGTATTTGCTTTTCTCCTCTTTTGTTTCTAACTAAAAAATGACAAGCTTTGTTCTGCATCTTGCTTTTTTATCCATGTAATAATGTAACTTGGACATTTATCCTTAGGGATGCAGTGCTCCAAAGATAAGAAACCACACTGACAGCTCTAGCTTTAAGCAGTACATTCTTTGGCTAATCTATTTATTTAGCAAGTTCTTTGTTATGACCATTTGAAAGGTTTCCAAGTTTACTGAAAACAACATTGTAGCTCAGTGGGAGAGACCTTGTCACACTTAAGTTTGAGTTTGCTCCCTATAACACACAGCAAATAACTAAATGAGTAACTAGGAACAGCAAGCAATCCTTACAGATATGTATTTCTTTCACAGACTACCCCCCACCCCAAAAGGGCAGCTGTTATATCGCATGCTTTATTTATCCTTTTCATAGATTTTCCACTAAAGTCCCTCCATAAAAATTTAAAATCAAGGGCTGGAGAGAGGGCTCAATGGTTAAAAACACTATCTGCTCTTCCAAAAAGACCCAGATTTGTTTCTCAGAACCCACAGGGAGACTGACAGCATCTGTCACTCCAGTCCCAGGGACCCAACACTTTCTCTAGCTTTCTGGGCACCAGGTATGCATAAGGTACACAGACATACATGCAGACAAAACACCCATTAATAATAATAGTAGTAATAATAATAATAATAATTTAAAATCAATTCACAATCCCAGGAGTAATGGAATTCTCCCCAAATCTCACCAAGAGTGTTATCAAATGGAAAACAGCATCATGAATTCCAACTGGAATTATTTCTTTATTTTTTATTATTACATATTTTACTTGTGTATGAATTTCAGTATCCTTCCATGTCTCAGAATCATCTGATCATTTATGCAACATATTAAAGACTGGGCCTGCTGGTCCATACCTAGTATCCAGGCACTTGAGAGGTGGAGGCAGGAAGATAAATAAATAGTTCAAGGTAATCCTTGGCTTCATATCAAGTTTGAGGCCAGCCTAGACTACTTGAGACTTCATTTCAAAAGGCAAACAAATGCAAAAAAAAAAAAAAGATCAACAGTGCCACAAAGAGAAGTTATCTGATAAGAAGGAAGCTGACTTTAAGATCATCCTGGAAAGTGGTTTCCCCTCTTATTTCATAATGCGCTAAAAATACCAGACCACCACAATAACTAAACAGCAAAGGGAATTCATCCTGAGAAACTACACATCACCAACCAAACACCCAATTGGCTGGTCTTATCTAATAGGGGTCCACCATGACCTGGAACAAACAGACTGGGGAGAGGGGCATTTTCTATACAAGCATGTTTTTATGTGGAGCTGGGACTCAAGCCCAGAGCTTTGAAAAAACAAGGCAAACACCCCATCATTGAGTAAAATCCACTTTCAGAGCTCTCATGGCTCTTGTATTCCTGATTGGCTGGAAGGCAATGGGTGCTGGGGTGAATAAAAGGCTGGAAATAACAATGCATGTGGTTGTCCTCTGATGCCTTCAAGCAGTTGGACTATAGCTGTGGTTGCCCTTGGACACCCATAGGCCAGCAATGGCAAGTGAACCACACATGTGACATGGATAGATTAAAACTGCAAGCACATGGCCTCCAAGATGATTCAGTGAGTGAATCTGCTTGCTGCCAAGCCTAGTAACCCAAGTTTGATCCCTGGAAACCACATAAGTAGAGAACTGACTCCAAATTATCCTCTGATTGCCACTTGTATGTCACAGAACTCCTGTGTGCACACACATACTCATGTGTATGTAGACTGGTTATAGGAGTCCAAGAGTAGTAGGGCACAATTTTAAGTCTGAGCTACCCTTCTAGGTATTATAACGATAGGCTTTGTTAAGATGATGTTTGAAGAAAGAGTTGAGAAAATCTGTAGATATCTAGATAGCATCACTGTGAGATAAAGAGGTGTGCGTGTTTCTATAGCATGGGAAGAAGGACTATAGATATTGCTCAGTAGCAGAGCACTTGTCGTGTGTGGCTAGCAATGACAAAACTGAAGAGAGCCAGACTCAGGAGCAGTTTTATCCCAGCTACTTGGGTAGCTGAGTCTGGAGAGTAGTGATACCAGCATGGGCTACAGAGGGATGCCCACTTTCAAGAAGGAGAGGAGGGCCAGGCGTTGGTGGCACACGCCTTTAATCCTAGTACTCGGGAGGCAGAGGTAGGTGGATCTCAGTGAGTTCAAGACCAGTCTGGTCTACAAGAGCTAGTTCCAGGATAGGCTCCAAAGCCACAGAGAAACCCTGTCTCGAAAAACCAAAAAAGAAGAAGAAGAAGAAGGAGGAGGAGGAGGAGGAGGAGGAGGAGGGGAGGAGAAGTGAGAAAGAGAAGAAGGAGGAGAAGGAGGAGGAGACATGGTTAGATGTGATTACTCAGGCCTATAATCCCAGTACTCAGGAAGCAAAAACAGGATTGCCACAATTATGAAGCTAGTCTGGGCTACATAGCAAGACCCTGCCTCACAAAAAACAAAACAAAAACCCAAAAACCTAGCTATAGTCCAACTGCTTGAAGGCATCAAAGGACAACCACATTTCCAGCCTTTTATTCACCCCAGCACCCATTGTCTTCCAACCAATCAGGAATACAAGAGCCATGATACAATGTTTTGTATTTTTTTGGTTCATGACCACAATCCCTGGCTATAAATCCCTCCCGAGTTGGGACACTGAAATTCTTGCCATTTCCAGCCTTTGGCTGGCTGCAGAATAATTATCTGATCTACCTTATCTGATATTAGGTCATAAGACCCTTTTCAGGCCAGGCATTGGTGGCACATACTTTTAATCCCAGCACTCGGAAGGAAGAGGCAGGAGGATCTCTGTGAGTTCGAGGCCAGCCTGGTCAACAGAGTGAGTTCCAGGGCTCAGAGATCTGCCTGCAGAGGGCTTTTAAAACTTTCTTTTCATCATCTTGTCATTTTGCAGTGCTGGGGACTATGGCTAGGGTTTTTGTGCATGCTAGGCAAACAGTCTAAACTCTGATATATTTCCAATCCCCACATACTTATTGATGTCTAGCTATTACCTGCATCTGGCCCTTATGTCAAGGGCTCAGAGACTAGTGCCCCCACTGCTATAAAGGTAGAAGACAAACAATTACCCAAATCCCCAGGCACATTTGGGCAACCTTTTGTTTGCTTTGGCTTGTAGTTCCTAGCAATAAGTGGTCTGTCCCTCTTGTGACTTTGTGTCCCATAATTCGGCACTCCTTAAGGTTTTCCTTGTTAGGTTGTAAGCCCCTTCCTTGGAGTGTCTGTGATTCCAGCATGACCTTATTCAGCTGATTTGTCCACTCTGATCGCTTCCCATTAGAGGGGAACGTCAATCATAACTACACCAGACACACAGATTCCAGCCTGGCCAGTCCCTATCATATATTATCTAGGAATGAACTACAGAACTAGGAAAATCATAGCTGTTATTCTTCTCAGAAGGGATAACTGCTCATTTTTACACAAGTCAAATGTGTATCTTGATTCAGAAAAGGGAGACAGGGAGACAGGTGCTGGTACCTGGGACTAAGATAAGCCATGAATACCATACTAAGGTTTTTCAGGGACCCAGGACCAACCACTAAAGTTCCTCCAAGGACAAAGCTACTCCTGTCACTAAATACATAGAACCATTAAAGAGGACCAAGATGTTATCCCTGCCATGGATAAAGTGACCCTCAGGAAAGATGGAGACTAAATAGGAAACATTAAGTAGTAACACAAGAAATGCCACAGTTCTGACAACTTGAGGGTTCTGAATTTGGTGACACCAGGTCCAGGGGCCCACCCATCCTAAATTTGTGACTCCTAAGGCTCTGACAGTAGCTTTGTGTTGCTGTTGACACAGGAAGACCAGGGCATGAATTCTGTTTCTGACCAGCTTGTGAATTCTGCTTCTGTGGTTTGGTAGTTTTTACACCAATGTCCTATGGCTGTGGCTTCGCCCGTTTAAACCTCCATTTTCTTTCGTGGAAAATAAACTTAGACATTCACTTCAAGAACTGTTGAGAAGTGCCGGGAAGAGGTGGGGGGTGGGGAGTGCTGACCACCTTTAATCCCAGTTCTAGGGAAGCAGAGGAAAGTGGCTTTCTGTGAGTTCAAGGCCAACCAAGAGTTCAAGACAGCAAGAGCTGCACAGTGAGATCCAGGCTCAGAGAGAAGGGGGTAGGAGAGGGACCAGGAGTGGATGAGAAATAGGTGAGCAGCTTGGCACATGCCTGGATCATAATGGTATCCATTCTGAACTATCCTTGTCTCAATGCCACCAATGAAGGCTCTTCTCAAGATTTTATCACATACTCGGGTACCTTCTGACGGCCCTCCAAATGCTGCTCTGTGCATTGTTTCTCATAAAGGCAAAACCCAGCACGCACTCCCTGACTCTCTAGTGTGGCTGGGGGCGGGGGGGGGGG